TCTTCACTTCCTCGAAGTTCTCGGTCTGCGCGCCACCTGGCGCCCACTCGTCGCCATGCGTCTGCTCGACGAGGAAGCATCGGCGAGACCGCGCTCTCCCCGTCCGACCGCGCGGCGAAAAGCCAGGAAAACGCGCGGCGATCGCCGCTGTCCGATCCGACCATCCTTGTTGCTTGAGCGGAAACGGAGCTTTGTTTTTCGTGGATTCTGCTCACTATTTTCTTTTATTTTGATCTATGATTACATTGGAATTTTGGTTTATTACGGTTTTTTTTGTTTGAATTTTCTTTCTTCTTTCGGTACAGTTAATTTGTTCTTTTTTTGGTTTTGATTGTGCTTTGATTTTGGACCTGCGAGTTTTTGGTATGTTTATTATTTTTTTTTATATGTTATGTTTTTGGAACTTTTTTTTGGTTACCTTCGAATTTTTTTGTTCTTTATTTTTGATGGAATGTGGAATTTTTTTCTATATGCCTCTTGTTTGGAATTAATCTAGTGGAATGCATGATCCTCAAAGGACCACGGCAAGTGTCGCGCCCCCAGCGGGCTTAGCCCGGACAGCGCTTGCACCGCAGAGCGCGCGCCCATTGCGCCGCATAGCTTACGCCACCTCGGCGATGCATCGGTGGGCCTCGGCGATGCATCGGCGCTGCGGTGGGCTTGGCATGTGCTGTTGTGGCAGCTGCTGTTTATGCTGGTGTCCTTTGTATTGTTGAGATTGTGGCCTGGTATTGCGCTAGTTGCTGGTGCTGTTGGTGTGCTTGCTGTTGCGTGTGTTGTTGTTGGTGGTGCTGTTGTTTTGCTGGTTGTTGTTGCTGCTTTGGCTGCAGTTGTGTGTGTTTTGTTGTTGTGTGTGTGTGTGTGTGTTCGATTATGTGTGTGCGTGTGTTTGAGTTTGCGTGTGTGTGTGTGCGTGTGCGTGTGTGCGTGCGTTTCGTTTGTGTGTATGTATGTGTGTGCGTGTGTGCGTGCGTGTGAGTGTATGTGTGTGAGTGTATGTTCGTGCGTGTTTGTGCGTGTGCGCGTGTGTGTTTGCGCTTCTGCGTGGGCGTTTGCGCGCGTGCGCGTGACTGCTGGGCGTCAGAGCCCGACGCTCGGCCCTCGGATCGAGGGCCCAGGATCCTCGAGTCCAAGATCTCGGATCCTCGTTCCGAGGATCGAGCCTGGCGGATGGCGATCCTCGGATCCAGTATCCAAGGCGCTCGAAAAAGCGCGGATCCAAGATCTCGGACCCTCGATCCGAGGATCTAGCCTGCTTGGCGGCGGTCTGGGCCCGAGGGCGGCGACGAGGGAGATCGACGATCGCCGGGGCTCGATCCTCGATCCGCGGATCGCGAACCCGAGATCTGCGAGTCCAAGCTTGGCAACCCGCGGGTATAGGATCCAAGTTGCACAATGATGCTCGGACACAATATCTCGGATCCTCGATCCGAGGATGGGGGATCGAGCCCGGTTGATATGATGATGCTTGATCGCGGACCACTTGGCAAGAGGGGGGGGGTAGTACCCCGCGGCTTGAAACGCCACTCGCGCGCGCTCGACCGCTCGCATGGAGCTTGAAAACAGATGGAGCTCGAGCGCGTGCCTCGAGACGCTCGCGAGGCGCCCTCGCTGCTAAAAGCGCGGGTGCGCTGGGCTCGGGGCGCTCGTGCGCAAGCCGCTCGCCGCTCGCCGCCGTTCGGCTCTAAAGCGCCCTTCGGCGTCGACTTGTCGGCCCCTGGCTCGGCCTTCGCGCCGGCCTCGCTCATCTCAGGCTCGCGCTGGCTTGGCATCTTGGCGCGGTCTTCGTGGGCCTCGCCGAAGTCTCGGGAGCGCATCCTGATGTGCTGGTCGAGAGCAGGCGCCTCGAAGCGGAGCTGCTTCTCGGCGCTTGCGTAGTCGTCCTTGGGGCGCTTGTCCACGTACTTTTCGTGCTGGAACTCGCGGGCCATGTCGGCAGTGCGCTTGAGGCTCTGGCGTCCCTTGACAACCGCTTGCGCGGTGGCGATCGCGTGGCCCTTGTTCTCAAACCCGCCGTTCTCGCGGCGCCAGCTGACGAAAGACTTGGCCTTGCGGGGGATCAGCTCGAACAGCTGATCGCTTGGCGCGCTGGGGGAGAACTCTCGACGGGCTTGAAGCTCTCGTTGATCGGCATCGCGAGGTCGTGGAGGTCGAGGGAGCTCGAAAGGGGTCTCGGGGAGGGCCTCGCCGACGCGCTCGGCGAAGGAGCCGAAGCTGAGGCGCCTGGCGCTCTCGAGGCCGAGATCGATGCCCTTCTTCTTGGCAAGCGCGAGCATCTTCGACTTGAAGCTCGGCATGAACCAGAAGAGGTCATCGGGGGGCACTCCGCGATTCTCGAAGATGCCGTAGAACAAATTGTTTTTCTCGCAGTAGGTCTCTCAGGACACCGCCACCGCCAGCTCGACGCGCCTCTTGTCCTTCTCGTTGAAGATGCGCCCGCGCCCGATGCTCTTGAGAGAACCGCCGTTGTAGACCACCGCGAGGGCGACTTGCTGGGCGCTCACCGACCACTAGGCGCTGCCCGCCTTGAGGAAGCAAGCGGTCATTCTTGCTGCGTCAGCGCCTTGCGCGCTCGATTGGCACTGGCGCATCTCGGCAACAGCGATCTTGTCCACGATGAAGGCCAGCTTGTCGAGGATCTTCTTGTTATGCATGGCCATGCGCTCGAGAATCTCGTTCGAGCTCAGGCTCGCGCGCTGGTTCGCAACGGTCTTCAGGGCCTCGACCTGCCGGGTCAGCGCCTGGGCGCGCTCGGCGGGGTGAGCCATCTGCGAAGCTCGCGACACTGACGCGCAAGAGCGTGGGGGGGATAGGCACTGGGGGGGGAACATCGACATGGAATCGGCGATCCATCGCCGATGCATCGGCGATGGCCACCCGATCGTGAATGCGCGCGTTCCTGGGCAGGTTCAGGAAATCGAACCACTCTCTGCGATCACAAGCGATTGGGGATCGATGCGTCCCCTTTATGCCTATCCACCCCTATCCTTGCCCCTGGGGCGGAGAGGTTCAGTGCCTCGAAGAGGCTCGAAAGCCTGGAGTTTCGGAGACTCGGGGAAGCTCGAGCCCGGGCAGTTGCGGGGGGGGGGGGGGGGGGGGGGGGGCAGGAGGCGGAGGAGGAGGAGGGCGCAGCGTAGAGGAGAGATCCATCCGACCGACCTCTGCGCTCAGCTCAACAGCTGAGCACACTTCCCCAGGCTCGAGCGACTGGCTACACCAGCGATCAGAGCGGAGGACAGAGAAGCAGGGGCCGCGGCCGCAGGCAGCGGGGCGGGCGGCGGGCGCCCGCCTGTGTCGAACGTCACGTGCAAGTGGACGGAAAGCGGTGTTTCAATCAGCGCCGCAGGAGGCGGCACGCGAGAGCGAGGAAGGGAGGCAGCAGCAGGAGGGACATCAGCAGGAGCGAGAGGGCGGGTCGAGAGGACAGCCATGGAGTCACGAGCGCGGCGGACGGCCACGGAGCGAATGATGGGACCGAGCGGGCAAACGAGAGGCAGACTATTTTCGGCGCCACGCTCACATTTCACCCTTGAAGTGCAGAGGCCAGGATTTCCACCACCATTCAGCAGCTTCGGCGACGGCTGAGCCTGCAACAACGGGCTCGAGGAGCACCCGTGCACAGGACTTTGCGTTCTGCCAGTAACATCAAGCTTCGTTGGCGATGTCTGAGCCTGCACCAGCGAGCGCACAGAGGTCCCATGCCCACGACCTTGCGTTCTGCCAGTAACATCCGACAACGTTGGCGACGATTGAGCCTGCAGGATCGGGTTCGAGGAGCACCCGTGCTCAGGACTTTGCGTTCCGCCAGTAGCATCCAGCGAAATTGGCGACGACTGAGCCTGCAGCAGCGGGCTCGAGGAGCACCCGTGCACAGGACTTTGCGTTCTGCCAGTAGCATTGTCATCCAACTCGTCGCTATGTCCACCACGTTCGGGAGTGGCTATCAGCGTCGAAGGAGTGTTCGGGCAAGACATCGTGGGAACCAGTCTTGGAGTCAAGCATGGTGACTGTCCTGGGGTCAAGCCTGCGCCAGCGTCGAAGTCGGCTTCACCATCACCAGCGACCGAGACAGCATGGGCGACGACAGGGTCGTCAGCAGAGGAGGTGGAAGAGTCGTCGGTGAGCGTGCGCGGTGTCGGTATGATGGACGGCGGCGGCTGCCATTTCTTTTCTATCTGGTCGGTGGGAGACGCCATACGAAGAGTTCTGACCGCCGCTCGAGTCGCCGAGTTCAGAGCATCAGGGGAAACCCAATTGCGCTCACGAATAGTGTGATACGTAGTGAACATCACGACCATCTCCTCCACCCGTTCCACACACGGTGCCGTCAGGCACAGACGTTCGTGAAGAGAGGCAGGAAGAGAGCGACCCAGTGCGCGGCCGACAGCTCGAACCAAACGGTGGCACCGCATGTAGTGGCACTGTCTGTCAGCACAAGAGATACACCCAAAGATACATAGGAGGAGGAGGAGGAGGAGGAGGAGGAGGAGGAGGAGGAAGAGGAGGAGGGGGAGGAGGCGGACGAGAAGGAGGAGGGGTGCAACGAACCGTGTGAGGGATGCGCTAAAAACTCAAATGCTTAGCCTGCTCGAAAGAAACACATGTAATTTCCAAATCCAATCGGTCCCCGTGATCCTGCTACACATTCCTGAATCGTGAACGGCTGAAAAAGGTGAGTCGCATGGCCCTGCCGCACGTTTTTGATTTGGGGAAACTGACGTTGTGAGAATCCCATAGCCCTGCCACACGCTCGTGATTGCGGAAGCTGAAATGGTGAGACCACCATTGCCATGATCAGCGTTTTTGATGACGTTGCGAGTCACATAAGATGATAACAGTTTCGACTCGCAACTTCCCCCAGGGATTATAAAGTTCGGCCTCCGCGCCCCTCTCCACGATTAACTCCTACTGACACGGGATAATACAGATTCAGGGGGATCAAGGGGGGTGTGATTTATTATCGGGGGCACGGGGTTATGTTAGCGGGGCCCGCATATCTCCTGCAGCCCGTCCAGCTGCGGCGGCCGCTGCTGCAGGGCGCGGCGCCGCTCCTCCTCCTCGCGCAGCCGCTCGGTCTCCCGGCGCTCCTTCTCCTCGAGTTCCTTTCGCTGCTGCAGGAGCCACTGCTCCTCAGCCTCGTGCCGCCGGCGCTGCTCCTCCAGCTCCCGCTGCTGCTGGAGCTGGTGCTCCTCGTTTCGCTGCTGGGCAAGCTGCTGCTGCTGGTAGAACTGCTGCAGCACCGGGTTCATCGCCTGGCCATTCAGCCCTTCCTCGTCGTCGTCATCTCAACCACGCTCGCCCTTCCTCTTCCCCGATTCTCCGGCCCCCATGCCCCAGTGGGGGAGTGGACGGCGACGAGAAGGGCGAGGAGATGAAGGAATGATACTGAGGAGGCCTAGGGCGGGAAGAGGAAGAATAGGGCAGCACAAGGACTGGCGACGGGATGATAATGACGAGGACACGGGCGACGAGAAGGGCGAGGAGAGGAAAGGATGATTGTGACGAGGGTTAGAAAGAGGATGAGGAGGACGAGGGCGAGAAGGACGAGGAGGAGGAGGCGACAAACTGTGAAGAAGACAGGGCACGGGAGGAGGGGGAGAAAAGTGAGGGAGGAAGAGGAGTGGGAGGATACGGGCGACGATAGAAGATTGGAGCATGCTGCGACGGTGAAGAGGACGAACAATAAGGGTGGGATGATGTGAACAGGGCGAGGAGCAGTGAGGACGATGTGAACAGGGGAGGTCCTCCTTCTCCTCCTCCTCCTCCTCCTCCTCCTCCTCCTCCTCCCCCTCGAGCCCGGGCGCCGGATGGGGGAGCGGACGTGGGAAGAAAGCAGGAACTGGGCGGAGGCGGAGGAAGAGGCGACGCACCCGAGAAGGTCCGTCCGACCGCCGACCTCGACCTCGGCCGACGCGTGAGCATCGACGGGGGGAGAATATGGGCTGCTGTTGGGTGGCGCTCGGGTTTTTGTTTCGGCCTCCCGGGGGGCGGAGGCGGAGGAAGAGGAGGAGGAGGACGACGATGAGGGGGAAGGGCACACGCCCGCGGAGACGTGCGCCACCACGTCTGCCGCCTACCTGCGGCGTGTGGCCCGTGCGTCGGCGGCCCACTGCAGCACGGCGTGGCCCAAAGCGCGTTCCATGACATGGTCACGTACTTCGGCGGTGGACAAACCTCCCTTTAGTAAACCTCCCCCTAGTGAAAGCTGCCTGGGACCGAAACCGACGGACCTGGACCTGCAAAAATGACGGCCGCGACGCCCCCGCGCGAACCGAAAACGGCCAATTCCTTAATCGACGTGTCAATGTAGTGCGTGCCAGACTCATATCCTGATCCAGTGCCTCTTGGACTTTTTGGGAAGCGGCGCCACAAGGCCGAGGCGCACGGGATATGGATAAAAAGCGATCCTCTAGGGGGCAAATTTATCCATATCCAGTGCGCCTCGGGTTTCTTGGGAAGGGAGCCCGAAACTCCATACTGCAGTGGATGTAGACAGAAGTATTGCCCGCATGTAGGAGGTCGATCAACCTCCGAGCACTGCCCAGGTGCACCAAAGTTCCTGCGTCGCGCGCCCCGTGCGCGACGCGGGCTCCTCGTTGCGCCGTCGCGCCCTCGCCTGGAGCGAGGGCGCCCGAGGAGCCCGAGCCGCGGCGCGCATAGCGCAGTGACCTTCTCGCCCGCTCGGGCAACCTGCACTACCGTCGGGGCGCTGACCTAAGCAACCCTCGATAATGCGGGATAACGGTTAATAAAATATGAGAGAGAACGATTAAACAAAAAAACAAGTTCTCTGCGATTTCTGCATAATTTCTGACTGGAGGAGAACGATAGAAAAATAGTTTTCCAGCCCGCGGCCGGTTTTTTCTAATCGTCATCCCGGGCGCCGCCGCGTGAACACGACCCCCGGTCATTTATTAATCGTCATCCTCCATTACCGTCGGGGCGTTGACCTAAGCAACCCTCGACAAGGGACGAGGCCTCTCTTTCCCCGTACGCTGAATTTGAACGTTCAACTTAATATCCGGACAAAAAAACCACGGGCAAACTTTAAGACAATCGCAGAGCACCGAGCCCCTCCCCAAGGAAAAAGGTTTCTTCTTCAGCGCCGATTGAGCGCCGAAAGGGGTCGGCGATACCTCGCCGATGGATCGGCGATAGGTCGTTTCGGGTACCTGGGCAGGTGTGGGCACCGGAGCCCAACCCGCCCAGACCATCGAGGAAAAAGCAAGTACATAAAGTCAGGGCGTTGACCTAATGAACCCCAAATAAGGAACGAGCCCCCTCTTTCAAACAGTCAAACTTCGACTACCCATCCAAAGCCTGAGGCAAACCAATGGCGAACTGTCAGACTACCCATTCAAAGCCTAAAGCAGATCAAAGGCGAACTGTAAAACAACTCAGGAACACTGAGCCCCTCCCCGAAGAAAATTGTTTCTTCTTCAGCGCCCCGGCTGTAAGTGAGTAAGGGTCGATGTTCCCCCCCCCCCCCCCTGCGCTAGTCTCCCCCTGTCAACACCCCCAAGGTTGACTGATGGGCAAATTTTCGACCACCGCTACCACATTAATGTAGGACGACGGAAGAGGGAGGATGAGGAGGTCCTCCTCCTCCGCTTCCTCCTCCTCCCTCTCCTACCTATGGTAGTGGTGGTGGAAAACGGGCCCATCATTGACGCTGTTATTCATGGACCTTGGGAATGTACCGCAAGCGTCGTCTCCATCAGTACCCGCACGCGTTTTTGCAGATTGTATCCTTCAACGTTGCCCTATTGGCCGTCAACCATAACCCATCCGAGCGCCGGTGTCGAACGGTATTGAATGGACCTCGAGGGAACCGATCCCTACAGTAATTCATTTCTGAATGGTCAAGATGATTAACGGCGCCCCCCTTCACTAGTTCTGGAATACGTTGGCGATTTACTTCGTCATTTCAGTCATGATGTCCCTCCTGCGCGCAGCACCTTGAACGCATATGATTGGGCAATCGCGCACATTCAACAACACGATGTTACAAACTCCATGCGTTTGGTGCGTTGGCGAAACGTCCCGCACATCTCCTAGAAAATGCGTTTACCGTGTACGGCCACTGTCACGCTCGTGCAACATCATACATTCGGGTGGCCTACTAAGTCTGACAATAAGCGACGTTCCCGCCTGCCCGACGGAATCTCGACACCTGCCAAGTTCCAGCGAAACGGTGCGGCCCCGCCATATCCCCGCAATCGATCAAATGTCGAAATCCTGCTTCTGCCAAGCGACGGATTACCACCTCTGGAAATCCTGGACTGACACATGCTGTCGTATCTCGGGGGCGCATGCTTTACTTCCGTCGGCTCCCGCTGGCCTTCCGCCAACCCCCGCCATCGGAGGCGGCCTCGTCTTGCTATCCACAGCCTTCCGCCGAGGGAGGACTGGGAACTCCTTCGATCCTCTAAGACGAGGCCCTTTCCTGGAACGACTCGACGAAATACATCCAAAACCACAAATCACAGCCACTCTGCGCCGGGAAGAGCGAGATGCAGCAAAGGAGAAGCCGTGATCTCCTGTATTCCCCTGCACCACCCAATTCCTTCCTCAGCAATCAGACTCTTCTTCCTCACCCTGCGTTCTGCCTTTCCTATGGCTGCTCGGGTCGTGCGAGCCGATATTCAATGATAAGAGAATGCCCTGCGCCAGCCTGCAAAATGGTGAAAACACCTGAAGAATCGTGGGGACGCAGCGATGGCGAAAAAACATCAGTTGACGCTCGCAATGAAGATTCTGACAAGTGTGGGGTGGTTACGTGATACTCGTCCCCAAGCCACAATTATCCGGGCGAGAAACCTAACCATCTGCAGTTGTGAGCACCGCGTTGTGGGTAACGCTTTCGGTGGAGTTCCTTTGGGTTTGTTGTCGCAATGAAGTGTTTGATGGGGTGTGCAGAGATAGGTCAGGTTGTGCCATGCGAGTGCAACCACTGGGGCCCTCCGTGGAGCTCCCATGGGGCCACTAAACGTGACAGGGAAATGTAGAAACGGGCGCGGCGGTGCCATGCGAACGCAGCCGCTGCAGCACTCGGTGGAGCTCCCAATGGGGCCACGAAGCGTGTGAGGGGTGTGACGAAATGAGTGCGGAGGTGCCATGCGAGCGCAGCCACTGGAGCCCTCGGTTGAGCTCCCTATGGTGCCAGGAAGCACGTGAGGTGTGTGCCCCGAAAAAGGCCAGGGGGGACATGCGAACGCAGCCACTGGGGCCTTCGGTGTAGCTCCCTGGTCCCTGTGGGGCCACGACGTGAGTGACGGGTGTGCCGATGTTTTTACATGCGGATTGCAGAGGCAGGGATGGCAGGATGGAGGAGGGCAGCGGGAGGGAAGGCGCGGGGCGCATTCCTTGCAAAACGAGGACCCAACACCGCAAGATGGCTGGGGAAAAGCATGGCTGGGGACTTCAAAGAGTAAGGGAGGGGACTTCAAAGGGGCATGCCAATCCTTTACCGTAAAGCTACCCCGATTGGTGGCCGCCGCGATCGACGCGGCGACCTCCAACGCTGACGCTGACCCGGAGCACGCAACGATGGGGGTACACATAACACAGGGACCAGGACGGGCAGGAATGCGGGGATCCTGGCGGCATTCGGAGGGTCATCGGAGCGCCACACCGCACGAGAACCCCCCCGCAGCCAACAAACAGTACTGGCGGACATGGGCAGCCTGGAAGACGTGACCGCACAGAAGCCATGCAGAGTAACAGGATTCCCCTTGGCGGGCACACGGGAAGAGGCGCGCCTAATCACAAGCGAGGCGAGTAGCCCTCGCCTGAGCCTATTCGCCCCTGAGGCGGGCAAGCGGTAGGGAGGGCACGGCTCCGAGGAGATACGTCGACCAGGACTCGCAAGACATCGCCGACATGTCGGCGATGGGCCCCCGATGACGCCTCCGCGCGCGCCTGGGCGGAGGGGGCTATCGGGCCCCCTGCCGGCGATCCAGGTGCGATTGTGGGTCGACGCGCGCACCCACAAGCCCATCCCCAGGTGGGCTTCGGGCCAAAACTCGGCTCTCCGGCGGCCGCTCGGGACGATTCGGGCACCGTTGGAACGCGCTCGACAAGGCGCAGCTGATGGAGAGCGTCCTGAGACTGGAGCGCCGCTTAGCACTCACGAAACCCATCGAAGACCTCGAACCTCGAACCTCGAAAACCTCGAACCCGGAACCCCAGAAGAGCGACGATAAAAAACGGGTCTTACGCGAGATGACGTAGCGATCTTACGCCATGG